CTCTATGAGGATTCTCTGAAAAGTTCTTGAGTTGTGTAGACACTTGACAGCATGCCTCAAGAACAGAATATCCATTGATGACACCAATGTGTAACACCAACATAATACTAATGGTTGAGATTGCTTCAATTAATAAAATAAACAACAAAAAAGCCTATTTTAAATAACTTGTAAACATGGGTATTATAAGAATAGAGCTGAACAGTTTTTAAATAAAAAATTCTACCTTGACTTGCCTTTGATGGCAAATATTTGACAGGTTTTAATTTTCATTTACAATCATGCATCTTGTACACTCAGTCATTAATTACATTTCAGAGATTGAAAATTCCCTAAGATGATTTTATATAACTTTTACTAAGCCTCATATGATCCATAATCTACTGATAAAATTGATTAATGGCAAAAAACAATAAAAATGACTCCCTTAATCTTAATCCGAAAGCTGACAAGGATTAATATGAATGTAGGCCTTATATGTAAAAACCATTTAATACCATACACTTTGTTCGTTTTAATCAGCAGATTTTTATCTATTCTAATCACATACCCCAAATTACTTTGCAAAATCTATGTATTTGAATTATTATAATATATCCGCCTGCTATTTTCAGGGTGACCTGAAACTAAATTGGGTGTTAAAATCATTTATTTCTGTTTGTTTACAATTCAATTTGTTTTTGTCAAGATTTAGACCTACTTTGAGTAACTAGCTTTTGAATATGATTATGGAAGCATAAAACAAAAACATATGGAAAACTGAATGAGATCAGTCAGACCAGAGTTTCTTGACATTTTAAATAATGACACACCTCAGAACAAATGAAAATATCATGACACACTTAGCAAAATTTTTAAAGGGTGTACATTTAAATGTATGAAATAAAACCATAGATTTAAAAATATACAGACACAAATATGAACTTTATTTCAATGTTTCTATTCAACTATTTGTGCAGCTTATTTAGTGTGAAACATGTCAGATATTAATGTTGTACCATTACTACATACATGCACACATATGTATGGCATGACAATATTTTGCAGAACACTGGCTGTCAGGAATCACTGAACTAGATTGTATCCAGATACATGATAAAAATTTTAAGCTCAAATATTTTAAAATTCAGCATTTCTCCTTGTTATACGATTATAACAGACACTTTTATAACTTTCCCTTTTATTGTTACAATGAAAAATTTTAAAATTCAGTGTTTCCACGTCTTCAGGATTTCCACTCAATATATAATTATAGCTGACATTTTTATATGTCCCCCTGCTTTCATTTCCTATAATCAAAAATTTAAAATTCAAAATTTTTTAAAATTCAGCATTCCTTCATCTTCAGTGTTTCCCTTCAGTACATAATTATAACCTCCCACTCCTACATATACATTGTATATAAATCATCAATAAAAAAACATTAGTCTACCTGATGAAGTCCTTTTAGAGGATGAAACATGTTGCACAGAAATTTTCCACTTTGTCATACATTTTCCTAATATACGAATATAGCTTTGAAAATGGAGCACATATTTTCATTAAGTTCCAAGTAAAAAAAAAAGTAATATACTTAAAATTCACAAATAATTTGCATATACCAATTAATAAAAGTGAATTTTGATTAATAAATAAAACCCAATTACTGCTGAAGTCTTTCTTGCCACCATTTTTATGAGAACAGTTGGACGTGTAGATGGTGTAATGGCTTGAAAGGAGAAATTGAAGAGCTGAGTTTGAATTCCAGTTGGGTTCATTACATTCACTTACACACGAATACCCTTCAGAAGGGTATGAATTGTTCTCCACCCACAACAAATCACAAGAAATTGCTATCGTCATGGGAGACCTTAATAGCAAAATAAGCAAGGAAAGAGATGGTGGAATAGTTGGCAAATTCAGGCTAGGAACTTGTAATGAATATGGAGAAAAATGGGTCCAATGTGCTTTGATAAAATCTAAAGAAGGATCAGCAATATTATTGGTTCTGATCTGGCAGCTCAGCTTCAATCACTTTCCCACTGCCATAAAGTAGCCTCCCTGTATCTTTTCTATAAATACTTTCATGGTAATTCTTTGGATGAGCATTTTGCTATAGTACCAAAACTTCATGAATTTATATAGAGTACTAGACTGGCAACAAGGTCTCATCAATTTACAGTTGCGTTGGCTAGATGTAACCATAAGTTCTATGTTACAGTTTCTTTTCTTGAACTTCTCACTTGTAAAATTTTCTTTGAGCTTCCATGCTTTCTAGTCATTTTTAATTTTTCCTGGTATGTTTTTCCCAAAACACTTATTACGGACTCAAATGCGAGCCCAAGTAAGGATAAGTAACAACAAAACCATATATAAAAAAATGAATAATGTATGTATTAACAAAACAAAGGTATACATAGACAATAGAAGTTTGTTGTGGGGGACAAAACAATGAATATGAAAGAAGAAAACATTTAAAATAGGGAATGTGGTATGTTTAGAAGTCTGAGTGAAAAGTGTTACATTGAAGTGAGCATGTGAACAGTAAGGGACACATTTTTAGTAGATGTAGCTACATCTTCTTATCCAAGAGAAAAAAGAAAGAGAATGACAGAGAATGTCATTCCTATTTATTTTTTACTTAATTTCATGATTTTAAAGAGTGTCCCCTAGCGACGGTTATTTTAGTAAAGTTAAGTGGGGTAACCCCACACCTTCCTTGGGGTAAACTCAATTAAAAAAAAAAAAAATTTGCTTACTGCTAATATTAACAGCTTATATTAGTCGGACATGATGATACAAAATAAAATGTCAAGAAGACTAAATCAACTTTTAAAAGTGGAGTTGGGTGCTAAGTCAAATGTTTACTTTTAAAGATGGCTGATTCTATATTTGAATCTTTTCTGTTAATTCCCCCCAAATAATATAAAGTTACTTATCACAAATATTAATTCACTCCAAGAAATTATAAATTTTAAATCAAAGTTTGTTTGTTTTTTTATTAAATTTTTGGCACTTTTTTGAAATTTTAAATCAAAATTTGTTTAGCTTGCTTTGCAACAACTCCAACCCTCAGAATGAAAAAATTACCAAAAATTAAGGAGTTATTCACATTTCGTAAGTGCGGATGATATTTGAGGTATTTACAAGGAATTTTGACAATTTAAAAAAAAAAAAGAAAAAATTTGTTTTTGGCTTTTTTATTAGGGTGAATGTGAAGACAAGATCCCACAGAGAAATAATGCACCTGAGTCGCCCATATTTGGGACAATTACAAAGGTCAATCCAACCAGAGTGCAATGGAATGACCTCACTCTGGGAGAATTTGATGTGAATTTTAGTAAATATAAATTCTTTTTATTTTGGGGTGAATTAACAGAAGAAAAAAATCCCTGAGTCTGATTCCTTCGTAAAATGAATATTTTTATTTCTATTATGCTACTGTAAACATTTTGTTGTTTTGATTTTAAATATATTTTTTTTTTTTTGCTATTTGTTTGCACTTATTTTCTGCAATGAGACATAAAACTCATGAAGAAGTTTTATTTAAATGATAGTGTTTTAGTTTTAGAAAAAAGAATAACAGAAAATGGAAATTTTCTGCTTTATTTTGAAAATTAATGGCAGTCATGACTTTTTAGACAAATGTTATAGCTCAGTTATCATTGAGGCCAAGAATACAAAATTAATTTTTTTCAGTTCCAGCAGGTGAGCATAGACGGTAGTTCAGCAGTTTTTGGGAAGGGAGGTTTTTTTTTAAGGTATTGGCTGAAATGGATCTCTTCTGACTGAATTTCATGCTCTCATAGAAAAATTGATTGAATAAATAAAAATGCCAATATTGGTCTATGTCAAGGCTGATTATGGAGATAACTAACAGCGTTTTTTGGCGACTGCACGGGACAAACAATGTAGTTATGGGAGAGTGGTTTGCTCACTCACCTAGTCTTCTCTGTCATCAACCGACGTGGCGAGATATTTTGTCGAAATGGTGATGTCTACAAATCTTTACCAAAGAAGACTAAAGTGAAAACAGCATTTTCAGTTAAATTTCAAACTCTCTCTAGTCTCTACCAATTCCGTTTCTCGTGTTGGGAGCGCAATTTTTTACGCTCCAATTCACGTAAACGTGTAAGTTTTCAAACCGGACGTTCGTCTATGGTTGAGCGGGGAAAATAATAATAATGATAAAAAAAAAATTAAAAAAAGTGTAAAAGTACATTTCTTTAATTAATTTTTTGGGAATTGTGCCATCAGGGATAGTATTATCTATTTTTTTATTTCACTTGTAGTACTGTGATAGTAGTAAGTTCTTACTGCTATCTTTGATTTCAAGTCGCCCCTCCCAACTTTCAAAGAGTGAGCGTTAATGGATTTGACATGAAAAATAAATTACGACGATCCAACCACTCGGCCTACCATCAATGCGAACATTTTTTTTTCGACTAAAAATCATGAAATTAAGTAAAAAAACTAAAAAGTAAACTTTTTTTCTTTTTCGGTCAGTTAACTAACATCGCGTAACTCAAACTGAGATTGGATTCAAAATTTTGTTTTTTAATGTCTTACCCGAACGTGTTTACCAGATGAGCCATCTCACTTAGTTTCAAGAGCGTGTTGCAGTTAGCATGCACCAGCCGAAACCGTTCCAATCTGCTTGACGTGGACACGAAACAAAAGGTACGACACATGTGCACTTTTATGCCACATGGTCGCTTCTGTGCGTCGTTCCTCAACTGAATGTCGATGAACTTTGGAGAAATTTAACAAAAAGACCGAAAAAAAATATGATCAACACCGACTTGTAGATTGTTTGCTTAGAAAAGTGAGAGTTAATTTAAAAAAAAAAAAAAAAAAAAAAAAACGAGAAAGAAAGATAAAGAGCAGACTGCGCCTCCACCCCACCGGTTTTGCATTACCTTGGCTTAGTTAGTGTTTTTTTGTGTAATTTTTTCAGCATCTCGCTCTCGAGCAACGAAAAAGGAGGTTGCATAATTGAATTGCATCATTTTTCTTCTCAGCGTTATTTGTACCCTCGTCATAAAGGTAAGTAAATAAAAAAAAAAGTAGTCATTAATATTGCACTATTACAAATTTATTTGCTTTTTTTTTTTTTAGTTTTTGAATATTGCTTTATCTGGCCACAAAATACCACGCTTTGTTGAGATAAGGAGAAAACAAGGTTTTGATTTTGTTTGCGTTGTCTACTACACTGTTAGTTTTTTGAGTTGCCATTAACAGCATTAACTGACAGAAAAAGAGAATCTTTTTTCTTTACCCATAAATTAAATTCCTCAGATATTTCCTTTTGTCGACGAGTTTTATTTTTTGCAGAGGGATGGATTAAAAAAAAATGCTACTCAAAAAACCAAGCACTAGTTAGTAATTGTATTTTATTTATTGCATACACAAGCTTTTTTGGAGACCCGTCTAAACAACTGTCAAAAAAAAGTTTATGTACAGACAGCACATAATTTTTAGCTGTAACTCCAGATGTTTATTAATTTTTTATCTCTCATCCGCAAAAAATAACATAAAATATTAAAGCATTTAAAATACTCTTCTCAGCTATTTTAAATTTTTTATCTATTTTGTTTGGTAGAAATTCATCCCAAAAATCACAAGTGCGTCGAGATGCTGTGTAGTGTAGTAGTAAAAGTAAAATGTATTTAATGACTGGTCAGTCAGTTGAAACTCCTGTGGAAAACCGATGATGATTAGATTAGAGAAGGACGTTAGGCGGGTAAGAAAAAATATTACATTGTTTGAGATATAGAAGTCAGTGTTTTCAACTTGACTTAAAAAAAAAAAATTGAAACGTTGGAATTAAAAACTAAACCTAAACCTCGCAACCGACCACGAAACATGATGGAATTAAAAAATGGAATCGCTGGGTTGAGGATTTTAATTAATTCACCACGTGTTTATTTTTCCGCTTGATTTCATTGTTCCGAGTCGTCTGTTAAAAAAAATAATCAAAACCCCTAAAGTCAAGTCACGACAGAGCCACACGCATATTTTGGTTTTTGATTTGAAGTTTCTCAGTTTTTTTGAAAATCTTTGTTTTGTTCCGTTTGAATTTTCAAGCCGAATAATTTTTACATTTTTGTTTGGGGTAAGTTTGAGAAACCACTAATTTTTTTTTTTTTTTACTTTTATTTTCTTCGTGAAATGAACTAAACTTAACTTAAACCACAAGCTCAAGAATCATTTTCCCCATTTAAGCTAAACCAACCTTTTAAAAAGGTTATTCATTTTTGTTTCTCTGAATGGATATGGAAGTATTTCCCACGTCAGCGGCGTTAAACTTCCTTTACATCTTCATGTTACAAATCCAGTACTTGTTTTTTTTTTGTAGTTGTTTTTTGTGTGTGTGGGTTGGTGGGGGGAAGCCTTTCAGTCAAATGTACACACCTAGGCCCAAATTTCTCTTTTTTATTTATGTAATTTTTACTTTAAAAAAAAAAATAGTGAAAAAGTTCTCTTGGAGAAAAAAGTAAAAAAAAAATCTAATTTGTATCTGTTTGTACTTTGACAAAAAGATAAATAGAAAACTTTGTTTTTATTAAACTGTCACTTTTTTGCTGCGTGTGTATATCGACGGTAATAATTTGTTATTTCTGATATCGAGTTGGGATTTTGGAAGATATTAGATTTTATTTTTGGACCTTGTGTTAAAAAAAAAAAAAAAAAGTATGTTGTTTGTTTTTTCTTAAAATGACATTGTTATTTTGAGGTTGTTGAAGTTGCAAACAAAATTATTTCTTTTTTTTTTCTGAAGCTTAATTCAATTCATGAAATACGCGGTGTCGTCAATTTCTTACTTAAGAGTACTAAGTTCCTTAGTACTAGTTTTGCCAGCATTAGGCACTTGGATGGATTAAAAAAGTACTTCGCAGCGCTGATCTCAAAATAGGCCTCTTTAAATAGCATTTTTGTTATTTTATTTGAATTTGATTATTCAACAATGGCACTTTAAAATACGGATCTGAATTAAAAGGTCTTTTAAAAGGAAAGGGTGCATTCATAGGAGTTTACTAACTTTAAAAACAATACGAAACTTGTAACTCGCACATCAGTTATCAGGAAATAAATTTAAATTACCCGGGCAAAAAAAAAAAAAAAATCAACAATTACTTTTTTAATATGACAGTTTCGAGCATCCACAAAAAAATTCTGTACCCAAAAAACTCCTCATCAGCCAAAAACAGAATTTTATTCCAGTAACCAAGAATTTGTTTTCTAAACAGAAACTTTAAACTTCCTCATACTGAAAAAAAAAAAATGTTCCATAAACATTGATCTGACTCTTGTAAAGATGGAGCATATTAGGAGGAGTCAGATACTTTCTCGAGTGGTACAAACAAGGAACTGACAGATTTTCCAGAATCTTGAGCAATGGTATGAATATATGGCGGCCGAAAGTATGATGCACCCAGTGAAGTTCAAACTCACTACACGGTTGTAATTCTTCTAGCAAGACAAGTTTGTTAACCATTATTACACCACATCTGAGTGCCCATGGTATGAATATAGGCTGGAGTGAGCTTTAGTTCCAATAGACATTTGAGACAAGGAACCTCATTGAGATTACAGCTGCTTATCAGGACTAGAGTAAATTATGGGTCTGCTCAGCGGTGATCAAACATTTCTAGCTTTGTTCTGGAGGTATTGAATGATACATGCCTGTCTTTTACCCTCCTTGAGCTGTGAGGGCTAGGGTCAGTGGAGAGGTCAGCACTTTGGGGGTACACTTGTAAACTGGTATCATCTGCATATTTACTAAAGATCTGAGTGTGTTCTTGGGCAGATTGTTAATATAAAGTAGAGTAGAACTGAGGAGAGATCATTTTGGAACACCAGCATTGATCTTGTATACTTCAGAGGGCTAGCCATTAATTACAATCTGATTTTGTTATTTTGCTCCCACGCATAATGTTCAGGATTGTTATTGAATGAATTCTAAAGTACAATAAAAAGTTCTATTTAATTGGTCTCTTGTAAAATGATACACAAAACATTCCTGTGCAATTCATTACTAATTGTTCTTTTGGTAAATGATGTTGCAGCTGCCTGTGGGAATAAACTCATCTGTTAAGATGCATTTAAGACCCTGCATTTTTTAATCATTGCAATTAAATTTAGATGTTTATGGAGCAATTGTTTCAGTATGATAGATTGCAAGTTTAGAATAAAACATTCTTTGGTGCTTGGAATAAATTTCAATGTTGGTTGATGAGAGTTCAAATTGATTTTGAGTACAGGAATTTTCTTTTTTTTTCTTTTTTCTTTTAATGCACATTTGCACCCTGGGTCATCTTTAATAAAAAAAAAAAAAGTAATTTTTTAATTTTTTTTCCTTTCATCCAAGTAAGATGGCATTCTATTCAGGACTAAAAAAAGTAAAGGATTTGCTCTCTCTCTCTCTCTCACCTTTTTTTGGAGGGGGCTCTAGGATGCAGTAAGTAGAACACATATTTAGTTCTCCCCTCAGGAGAGACTTAGTAAAGCATAGTAAAGCTGAATATTTAATTTTAACTCAACCACATGGTACACATACACACATTACTGCTAATTGCATGTGTGTGTGATTTTGAGCAATTTTGATCTTTATATAAATCTTCCAGGAGTTGAATTGATTTCTTTTGAAACTCTTCAACAAGAAGAAGTCATAATTTTTCCTGTAACAAGTGGTAATCTCTCTGCTTCAAACTAGTATCACATGATACATGACCTTACATCATCTCACATTTCATTTTCAGTTATGATTGTATTTTCTTTGACATTTAAAATTTTTCCATGGTGCACCTGTTTAAGGACAATTTTTGATTGTGCCAAACTTTTTCCACTTCAAAATAATTGATCCAATATTACTGACAAGAATGTTTTAATTTAGCAACAGCTCAGTAGCTCAAAACTTCATTATATTTCTTGAATTATTCTTTATTTTTATTCTTTTGGTTGAGCACTCCTTTACTTTATCAATCTCATTGCAAGAAGGGTAAGAGTTGAATGACAACTATAACATCTGACCCTACTATTGCTAGGAGAGATGCCAAGAATTTTTGATGCACATACAGAAAAATAAAACCTGCATTCCTTTGTGGAAAGTTGAGGGAGGGGAGATTTGGACTTTTTAAAAAATATTCAATTTGCTGAGAAAAGAAAGTAGACAAAGTGCAAATACATAATCTTTTTAGTTGAAAAATTGTTGAGGTGATTTTTTTTTTTACAAAATTTTTTATTTTTTTTTATTTTTTTTGAAGTCTAGTCTCATCTTATGAGGATGTTGTGTACAGTAGGAAATAAGCTAGACACATGAAAATTTCTTAATGACTTCAACTCGGACTTTTACATGGGCTGGCTCCTTGATGTATTTTTTTTTATACTGGCTGTGTGGACAGACATATTTAACATAATAATGTGCAAATATTTAACATAAAAATGCTTGACACCATTTTAAAGTGTTTTATTTGAAGAGTATAAAATTTCTAATTTAATAACTATATATGCTTAAAAGCTGAAAATTCTCAGATTAATAATTTGATCTTTTAAATGTTGTATAAATTTTATCTTTCTCTGTAAATAATAATTAAATTTTAATTTGGTATCCACTCATTAATAATTTTCAATAAAAAGTGATTTTTATTTTGCTTGAAATTGATCGATTAATAAAATATGTTCCAATGTCTGTAATGGTTTGATTCTTTCTAATTTCTTTTACCAAATTTTAATTTATATAAATTTTTAAAGTTTTTTTTTGAGTAACATTTTAATACATTTTAAATTGTCTTTGAATAATTTTTTTTTGTCCACCATTACTTTTGTCTTCTACATTGTAAGTTAGAAAATATGAATTTGGCTTTAAATAACCCACAAAAGGGTTGATAAGCTGTAAAAAGTAAAAAAAAGTTGAATTTTTCATTTTGTTCGGTATTTTATATCAAAATACATAACCTGTTTAAATTTAAAGTGAATGTAATCATCAGAAATATATATCAAATATTTGACAAGAATCCAAATACTTTTCTCACACTGTGTATATA